TTGTCTCCGTCTTTCCTTTTGGCTACCCTCGCGCTGTTCTCCCCTCTTAACGTGGCACCGCTTACCATGACGCCGCTTAATATGGCGCTATTTTCATTCCAGTCAAATCCACTTTCGCACTTTTTCTCTTCCGAAATGACTATTTCCCCCTTAGATGGCTCATCGTCTATGTGCTGATAACTCTCATTGGAGTTACCATCAACGATGTGGTACTCTTCCGTTTGCTTGAACCCACCCTTCTGGGTGCAGTTTATTTCCATATTGACCTCTCTTTTTTCTTTGTCGTCTTTTTTCCTTTCCTTAAAACTCGCTGCGATTGGGGATCCTCTTTGGGATAGCCCCCACTCCATGTCGTAATCTTCACTGGGAAAGGGCTTCGTTCTCTCAAATGTGAATCCTGCTTTGTTCCCCGCTATGTTATAACTTTGCTCCTCGTGGATTGTGGCTCCCCAGTTAGTGCACCTCGTGTCGACACTCTTGGTAGGGGAATTTTGCACTGATCCAACTTTATCATCAGGGTCATTGATAAGGGGTGACACGTATTTTGTGTCTCCTTTTAACGCTCCTTCTTTGTCTGGATTGTCCACATACATTCTGACTCGGCCTCTAATCCCATCTGCAGTGGCATTGAGTGGAGAGCAACCTTCCTCTTTGGTCTGTCCCGCGATATTGTTGTTCCAATCTTCGTTTAATGAAGCCTCCTGAGACATACATTCCTCCTGTGGGGGGTCATCCCAAATGAACTGACTATTCAATTTATCCTCCGAAGGATTCTCATGTGGCATGTCTTCGAGACCATTAACAAGAATGTCCTCATCTGGGTGGTGGGATGTCCCTTCCTTCTTGGCCTCTACATCTACGCTGACTGGTTCTGACCCGTTTGTTTCTTTGTCACGTGGGGAATCATAGTGGAAAATGGGAAGGGTGCTCAGCGGAGGTTCCCCCCTTTGGTTCGTTCCATCGACTATCGTCGTGTTTCTCGCGGACGTCTCGTTCATCGTTTCCATCTCCTCGCTACTGGATACTCCGCTCATCAGCTCGTAGTTGCTCCTGGCCAAATCATAGACGTAGTTAGAAAAGGAAACGCTCTTTTTAAGTCTCTCACTGCTAGGGAATTTCTTCAGTGCCGATTTTAAGTTCAGTTTTTCCTTTCCTTTAAGTATCCTTTTGGTGTCTAGGCCTCCTGGTATTTCACTCAGATTTGGAATTTCTGGCTTCCCATAAAAGTTGGTTGCTAAGAAGTGCTCTTCCTCATCATCATAGTGGTCCTCCTCATCATAGTAATCCTCATCGAAGTAATCATCCTCTTTCGTTTCTGTATCTATCACTTTGTGGTAGGTGTTTTCCGCAGGTTCTGTCTCACGGGTGATATTCTCCTTCCAGTCCCATGAGTCAGACTTCGTCTCCATGCAATTGGATCCGTTTTTTGAGTCCACTTTGGGGGAATCACTTTTGGTCATCCCTTCATACTCTAATTGATTCATCTTCGCGAAACCTGACTTTGGGCCTACCTGAGGGATGCCATTCGATTTTTCTTGTTCACCTGTGAGGTATTTATTTGGGGGGCTATCCTCATTACTGATCTGTTCATCACCGTTTTGAGCAACGTCCTTTCTCACGTCTGAGGGGGGCCCTTTCCCCGCGGTAGGCACTGTTCTGACAGATTGGTCATTCGGGGAGACTCCTTGTTCGCTTTCCTTCTCTTGCTGAGGGGGGGTATCACCACTTGTAACATTTCCACCAGACACATAGGCGAGCCCATCGTACTCATCGTCGATTACTTGGACCCCCTTACGTGCTTCGTCGACATGTTCCGCAGAGTCCTTGGGCGCGTCCACCCTTTCTGCTTCTGCGAAATGTACCAAATCGTCTTCCCCCAGTGGAATATTCTCAACTTGGTGTTTTCCTTCTCTTATGGACCCGCTCTGAATGGCTACCTTGGCATCTGTATGAACGGGTTCTAATTCCCCTTCTAAATGATTCTCCACACCGATAATCAAATTGTCGTAGGAGCAGAGTAAGTCGATTTTTAAATTGTTAATGTAGTACCCATGGGAAAGGGTGTCGATTTTTTTTACCCAGATGTTTTTCTTGGCACACAAGCCGATGATAAAATTTCTGTTAATAATCATTTGACTGAATTTATTTTTTACCATACTAGGCTTGCATCCGTAGATCCCTCCCCAGATGTACAAGTCGTCTTCCCCCGTTTTGCAAAGGCTTACCTTTCCTGCACTCACATAAGTTACGTTCTTGATGCTGTCAACTAATTTGGGTTCATGACACTCTGTACAGTCATCGTATCCTAGTACACCATTGGTGTTGTCCCCCCAGGAGTACAGTGAGTTGTTAAAACTGATTCCCAAGATGAAATCATTCCCGATGGCGATCTTCTTAAAAGCTATATTATTTGTATCGATCAGATATGGTTTTGTTAGTATTCTTTTCTTCTTGGCTTTATTTTTCTCTCCTTGGATGAAATGCTCGTTTATCAAACCAAACCCGTACAAAAACCCGTCGATAGTCAGGTACAGGGTATACCTATCCCTTGAGTAGACACATTTCACGATGTTATTTTGGACATCTACTTTGTGTACTTTTTTCACTTTGTTGACTTTGTTCAGTTTGTGTTGCTTCTTTTTCGTTCTGGTGTCTACTTCCTCATGGTTTCTAGGCCCTCCCACGTCTTTCTCCAAGGTCGAAAACGACGGAACCGTTCCCGATGTGGAATCTGGAGTGCATTCGCGGATAGACTCTAACTCATCCTCACACTCAAACGAAGCATCATTCCCGTTGCCCAACTGCCCATAGGTGTTGTCCCCATACGTGAAGAGCTCTCCCTCCTTCGATATAAAGGCAATATGACTATCTCCACTGCTCACATCGTGGATTATTTTATTTTTTAAAACGGAGTCTACTAACAGGTAGGGCACATTCTTGTCAAAGTCGTCAAAATCGTTCAACTGCCAACAGTATATTTTGCCCACTACTGAGAGGAACCCAATGATGGACTTTCCACAACTCACTTTCACAATTTTGACCTGCGGGTGATACATTTTGTGTCTTATGATTTCTTTTTTTTTATTCTTTTTCGAGTTCATCACCTTTGGTTTATCTCCCTCGATGCCAATGTCACCAGTGGGATTGCCTCCCTTGAGTGTTTCACCATCCGCGTTGTACGCATGGTCGAGCTCCTCTTTCTCCCCCTCCTCATTCTTCACATCATTTATGACAAACACGTGAATCTTACTGCCTCTCTTGTAGCCTGACATTTTTCCTATACTTTTTCTTTTTTTAATTCTTCATATCTGTTTTGTGTGCATACACACACAGGAGGAGTAGTGGGGGATGGGGGTTCCCTAGCTATGAGGGAGTTGCTGTCAATCCACTTGTGCAGAATTAGACACTTGTCAGGACACACAAAAAACAAAACAAAAAGGAAAAGAAAAAATTGCAATGTAGTGACGGAACAAATGGAACAGAAAAAAAGGGTACACAAAAAAAAAAAATTCCCAATTTTTACCTGAACAAAATTGAAAAAAAAAAAAATTATGAACTGTTCAGAATATTTTACAAGAAAGGTAAACAGGAATGATACCTAGGCGGCGAGATAAGAACTGCGCATGAAGACAAAATTGAATACACTCTATCTTTATGCATCATTTATCTCCAACTCTTCTTGATGTATTAAAAAAAAGAAGTTTCAAGAGTGGAGAGATACAAACAGACGTTTCCCGGATCAGCGGGTGGTGAAAAACACAGACGAAATACGACCTGGTGCTGCCTAGAACAGGTGGGCAACTCACACAAGGTGCGGAAGGGGGGAATTTTCACCAAATTGAATGGGGCACATATCGGTGTAAATTTCCCCCTGTTTAGGATACTCCCTGTCGAACGACCAACAGATTGTTAAGGGGTGGACGAAAAGAAAGGGGTATAAAATAAACATCTAAGCATACATGTACACGCATACATAAGTATGCATAAACACATACACATAGGAATACATACAGAAACATACACAGACATGCACAGAGACACAGACACACATGCACACATGAACTCAGAAACACACAGACATGCATACACAGACATGCACACACTCATATGTACGTGTTGTATAGTCGAGGGCTTCTCCCCCTTGTGCGTCCACGGGCCAGGCGCCACGTATGAGTGGGATGCTGGTGGCGCCGCACTTCTTAAGGACGAACAGCACTAATATAAACCACAGGCGGATGACCACGGACGTCCGTGTAAACAGTGGCGTAGGTTTCCTCGTGGAGCCAAAACAACAAGGAGCAAAAAACAACACGCTGTCCGGGGAAGACGTTCTGGAGCCGTCAAACTGGGTTGTGCATACCAAATGAACACGGGGAAATTAACGTCGCAAATGCGGCGCGGCAAGAAGACAAATTACGTTTAACCCTCCAGCAACAGCACTCCTCAGAAAATGCAGAGAACAGGGGAGTTGCTTGCGGTGGGTGCTCTGTTCCTTTTTTCGGGTGCAAGAAGGATGGGCGGGGAGGTGTACGGAGATAAAAATCAGGGGGAAAAAAAAAAAATGAAGCAGGTGAGAGGAGAAAATGGCGCAAAAAAGAAGCAAACACCACGCAAATGCGACGCAAATGAGACGCAAATGTAACACAAATGTAACGCAAATGAAACGCAAATGTAACACAAATGTAACGCAAATGTAACACAAATGTGAGGCCAACTTAACGCAGAATAAAAGAATGACAAGGAATACGCTTTGCCTAACAGGGAAAAAAAAGGAAATACAAATAAAACGCAGAAAAATGCGGAAAATTCTGAGGAAAGAGCGGCATTCGGGGAAATGTGCACAACAAATGCGCCGTTTCCGTGACACGTAATATACGCCAAGAAGGCGCCACCCCTGTGGACAGAATGAGGAACTTTTCCTGCTATCATGGCACTGCTCGCGGGGCATTTCCTGCATTGGGGGAGTGCTCGGTCTCGTGCTTTTTCGTAAAATGGAAAAAAAAAAGAAAAAAGAAAAAAAAAAAAAAGAAAAAGGAAAAAAAAGAAAAAAAAAAAAAAAAAAGGAAAAAAAAGAAAAAAAAGAAAAAAAAAAAAAAGAAAAAGGAAAAAAAAAAAAAAAAAAAAAGAAAAAGGAAAAAAAAGAAAAAAAAAAAGGAGCGTCCAAATGCATGAAGGGGAAAGGATAAATTAACACGTCTAGAAAAGGATAAAAGAAGAATCGCGAGGAAGCATAACCAAGTACGCGCATGAACGTTCCAAACAATAAATATCAGAAAAGGGGATATGGACTAATGCATAACCATTTGCAATGTTTTACAACTTTTCTTCCTCCGTTTCGCTAGCGCCAATGGTACCCCGCATATTCTTTTAATAACGGATGGTCAAAAGAGAAGAGAAAGAAAGAGGAAAAAAAAATAATGGACATATTTCTGTGCTTCAACGTGCTGATATCAAAGGAGAACAGTCAAATGAGACAAAACATGGACCCAGGGCTCCTTGGAGACTTCCCCACTTGGTGCGCTCAGCGTGTCCAAACCTCTTTTTTAACTGCGAGTTCCCTTCTATTGACATGCACACAAGTGGTGATCATCCTACCGCGGCGAAGCTTTAGATCCCCAATTTTAAACCACAATTATATGTCACCCCTTTTACCGTCCTGGCATCCGTGAAGTGTAACAATGTGTAACAAAATACCCTTTGCTGCTTAACGGGCATTCACTTTGTCCATGACCAGCTGCAAGATTAAGTTCAAGCGGGCACATTCGTCATGCTCCTTTGCCGGAAAGGTCAGAACAATTTTTGGTAAAGAGGAGGCGCCGTCAATTGTGTACCGATTGGGTACATCCCCAGAGATGGTAAAAAAAAGGAAAGAAGGAAAAAATTAATTCGGTAACGGCCTTCCAGGTGTGTTCACCGCTTTCATTCATCTAAATGACAGAAGTGGTGAAACTGTCAATGGGAAGAGAGGGATCACCAACTTGGATTTATTTAATCGCACAACAGTCATGTGCATGCGCAAGCATGCTATTCTAATTCTATTTTCAAGGGTGCGTAGTTCTTCATAGGAAAGCCCCTTTTCTGGTTCCCCATCCGATTCTACACTCCTGAGTGTTCACAAAGGAACACTCGGTATCTTCATCGTGTCTCAGTAGATTAAAAAAAGGAAACTGTACAACATGAGCGCTTTCCCTTTTAACGTAATATTTATTCATACTATATGCCAAAAGGGACTTCCGTCTAAACATAATTTGGGTGCAAAAGAATGTGAATCAATTAGTAGTGTTCTTAGCGGGGGCGATTCAGGAAGCCTGCTGTAGTCACTCACCTCAGAAAAGGTATATCACGATGGGGATGTAATAACATCCCTCAAAGATGTAGGTTTCAATTGAGGGAAACATCTTCTCTCCTTATTTAAACGTACAGCTCATTCCAAAAGGGGAATAAACTATTTAATTCTTCAACAACATTAAAAAGAATTCGGCAGTACTGGAGGGACATTACCACCACGCTTTGTACTATTTGTCTTGTGGAGGAAATGGAGCCTGTGAAAAGAGGAATACAGTTATATTCTGAAGATGAAATAATACTATTCCCAGACTTGCATCGAATGGCCAATCCATGTCGTTACAAGTTCCTACCCCTATTTTATCCGTAATGGGAATTTTACCATTAGAAAAAAGCAATATACTTCAATCATTAATAAATACATGCATTCGCTCTTTCTAGTTGAAGGGACTCATGTTATTCGCAGGCGTTGTTATATAAGAACACAGCGCTCAGGAGGATCTAAAGATAGAAGTGGAATACAATAAATGGGACCTTCCCCACAGCACATACTTCGTCCCATTTATGGAACTGTAATAAGCGCATCAACAAAGTGCACAACGGAAGGTGTCTCATTGAAGAGACGACAAATGCAAATCCATCTGCTTGTGAGGCTATCTAAAACGTCCGGTATCACGAAGTAGGGGAATAGCCTATCTTATGACTCATCAGGTCCACTGCAATGAACAATGATGATAATATCGAATCGTAACTAACGCGTACAGCTAACAATTTAGCACTATCACTGTGTCTTTTACATATTTCCGATGCGTCCGATATCCATAATCGCAAAGTGCTGACATGACACCCTGTGTAACATCCATCCATTCATAAAAATATAGGAAGGAAAGGATGTGCACATGTGGCACTACACGTAAGTGTTAATTTTTCCGATATGACAATAGAAATGAAATAGCTCACTAAGAAATATTATTTTACCCTTTACGAATAGGTGTGTTAATTCAAATTGTAGCAAGCGTTCCCATTTTTCTTATGTCTCATTGTTTCCTATAATGACCTATTTCGAAAATGTTTTTTTTTTATATATGGATATTGATATAGAACATTATTTTTATTTCCTACAGAAAAGTACTTACATTTTATTAATTGTAATAATAGATGATTAATATATAATCACAACAAGAAATTTCATTTCTATTTTGTTCGCGGCGCAGAAGCGGAATTAATTAAAATAGGAGTAAAATAATTTCATGATTTGAGGAGAAGACGATGCTATTATTTTTAATTTCCCCTTTAAGAATAGGATATTATTTTGCTGTTTTCCTTTACAACTCCTATTGCATAGTAAAAATTACCCGACAATTACCTTCCCTCCTTTTTTATATCTCCTATATGCTTTATAATTAACGTACATTAATGAATACTTACTCTTCTTTATGTCAAATGATGCATTTCTTTTTGTCCCTATAAAATAATACAGTTCTTTCCGGATTTTAAAAAAATAGAGAGTCCGTGATTAATAATGTTACGCAAGTAAACGGATGTTTATAAATGGGAATATTTCTGAATATGAACGTTTCCCAATATTAATGCTTCTAAATAGAAACGCTGCTTAATAGGAATGTTTCTAAATAAAAATCCTTGTATATGAGAAACGATATAACTAAATATCCCTACATTCAATATAGGAAGCATACTCTCAAAAATAGATGCTATCACACATATATCCCATCAGAAGCACATATTATCTAGAGTACACACTATCCAAAATATGTGATATTCAAAATACTAACTATGAAAAATAAGTGCTATTCAAAATTCATCCTATCAGAAATACGTAACATCAGGAGGACATACTATTAGTAACATTTATAGTCGAAAACATCTCTCGATAGCATTGGAAACAGCCCGTATTGAATTTTCTTCCATTATAAAATACTTGTGAACATTAATGATTTCCATGATGAGACAACCATGAAACTATAGAATGTCCTTCACTAAATTATTTCCCTCCATCCTTGTGTTTTGTGCCAGCGATTATTCGAATGAGATAACGTAAAAGGTAGGTTCAGCCATCCCTGAACTAATTCTGATAATATTTCTTTCCCTTTTTTTGAAGAAGAAAATATCAGTAGTATGTAAAAATCACTATAACAGAATTTTAAATGGTGGAAATATATCCTCCCTTTCTTAGTATAACTGTGGAAGATATTGAACGAAGAAAAGCGTACACAATGTGCTAAACGTAAGAAGTAGCAGATTACTAAGAGGATACAAAGAAACTTGAGAACAACGATGAATATGAAGATTTAAAGGAGAAATTAATCGATTCAGTTGATAAAGATGATGAAGAATTTAGAAGCCGCTTTAAATCTTGTATCAAAGATGCTAAATTTAAGGAACAATTCAAATTATTAATGAATGATGACTATCATATAACTTCCGCATATAAGGCAGTCACAGGTCATAAGAGTTATAAAAACCCACTTCCTGATGGAGATCATAATCTTATCCTCACCATGGACAAACATAAAAATTCTTCTCGTCATAAAGATGATTCACAAGATTTTACGCATACCTGTGGAGGTGACTAAAGATTTGCCACTTCCCCACTGAGGGGAGGCAGATAGTCCATATGTGATGTGCGTGCGGCCTTCGTTCTGGGTTTCTTCAGGTGTCGCCTTGTAGGTCGCCTTTCATCCTCTCTTCGCGCGTCCCCAATTCTTCACGTGGCCGCTTGCGCATTTTTGAATTTTTCTATTTTATCAGTTCCTTTTTTTACGATGTTGCGCGCCCCCTCGTTGGACGAGGGAACGAGTCAATTGCTAAGGCAGCGGATCCGTTAATATAGGGCGTCGCACTACGAATATGTGCATTCATCCGTGCATTTTTATGCACAGGTTTAAACGCATGGGGCCAAGGATGTCCGTCCTAGTGCCGAGCGCTTCTTCCTTTCATCGCTGAGCCCACCTTCTCGAAATGGGGTGGCAAGTGTAGTGTTGCAACAGGTTGCGTCCTGCCCGCGTTTGGGTGGTGTTCTGGTTGCATGTTGGTTGCGATGCCATGGGGGAGCAAAAAAAATAAAGCACACAAAATGGAGAAAAAAAAAAAAAGTAACTAATGAGAAACAATCAAAATAGGTGGTCAAGCAGTGCCCAAATGACTGATCAAGAATAACAGGAATAACCAGTGGGGGCAATAAATTTAACAGCAACACACAGTCGCTAAAGAGAACACGGAGGCATTCCCCACTGCAAGAGACGTGTGCAGCACCGCGAAGAGGAGAAAAGCAACGCGCAGCATAGGGCATCACGTGGCACCGCAAGCAACCACAACGCTGTGTACCCCAGCGCAACACCCTGTAATGCCTCGATGAGGCCCTGGAGCCCCTTGAGCCGCGAATTCTGGGCGCCCGGTAAGGGCAAGGAGCTGGCGACGAAGTACGAGAAAACGATCCTATTGATCTCGCTGCTGTACATCCCCGCAGTGCTCGTGTTGCAGAAGGTGATGAGGAGGCGGAAGGAGATAGAGGCGAAGGCGCTGAAGGTCGCATGGAACGTGTGCCTGTCGGTGTTGTCCCTCATAGGAGTGCTTCTGATCCTTATATATGACCCAAATGTGCTAAGGAGTATAATCCTAGAGGAGACAGAGTACAGACCGGAAACGAGGGCAGTCATCAGCATTTTCACGCTGACAAAAGTAGTGGAATATGGAGACACAGTATTCTTAATTTTAAAAAAAAAAGAATTAACATTTTTACACTGCTACCATCACCTAAGTGTAGTTATATATTGTCTGTATTCTCAGAAGGAGTTAGTTTCTCACGCGCATTACTTTGTCTTCCTGAACTTAGTGGTCCACTCGATCATGTATTTTTATTTTGGCTTTATTTACATTGTGCCAAAAGTTCTGTACAAAGTCAGGCAATTTATAACATGTTTGCAAATACTTCAGATGTTCATTGGCATTTATATTTCCTACTATGCTATAAAAAATGTGGAGAATCAAGTTTACGTCAAGAATGCAATTGCGAGCTTGGCTTTATATTTGACATATGCCATTTTGTTTTTAAAATTTTACTTCAAAAATTACTGCAAGAATGTAAAAAGCAACGTGGCTACGTACATGATCAGTGTGCACATATTGGGACTGATCGGACTTATAATGCTGTGTACAAGTAACGACACGCTAAGGTTATTCATTGAAGTTTCCATTGGATGTGTCTTCACCTTAACGTTGCTCAGTTGCTCCTTCCATTTTAACACACATTATTGTCACCTCTGGAAGAACAAAATAGGGGAAACGAACTTTTTTGAGCAAACGGACTTACTTAACAGTTATAAGGCAAAGTACTTTTCCAAAATGGCATTTTTGAAAAAAATGACGATACATATAATTAAAACATTCCTCCTTTGCTTTAACGGTCTCGCAACCTACGCGCATGACACAATATTCCTTTTTGTAAATTTCTACTCGGAGAGACTTAAGAGGATTGCTCACGAGTCGGCTGCGTTGGACAAGAAGGGGCATTCACTCACCGCGGGGCGTCATGTGGGTGGAAAATCCGCCACAGTGAGGGGCGTAGCGAATGACGAAGCGAAATACCTAGTAGATGCGGCGAAACCGACCGTGGATGCCCCTAACCGAAGAGACAACAAATCGAACAAAATTTTCTTCCTCATTAAAGACCTTTACAACAGATCGATAATCTCCTACATCATATACAAGTCACCCATCGAGAGCATTGCCAAAAATTTGGAGTCCATTTCACCTGACCAGTCAGCAAGGAAATCGCTCCAATTTACGATTCTTAGCATGGCCAAGCAGGTGATACAGAATTACCTTCTCTACATTGTCTGTTTGATTCTCCCTATATATTACGGACTGCGCGTGTACAACGACGCGCTGCTGGGCCTGTGCGTGCACGGCGCGCTCAGGTGGCTCATCGAAATTTACTCCACCAAAATTTTTAAAAAGTCACAGAAGCTGCATGGACATTGAGACGGTGAGCAGGTGGCCGCAAGTTAGGGAGGGCGCTCGCAGCAGGAATAGAGGCCGACCAACCGAATGAATGGAATATTCCCCTCGAGAAGTTAAACTTTACAGGGGAAAGCGTTTTATCACCTTTGCAATTCTATGCACCTCCGTGGTAGCACTTCCTAAAGGGGCGAAACAACAGGCACACCTGAAGCCGTATCAGGCGCCATTGCCTACGTCACCATGGGAATAACCACCCACATGCGCAACTGGCGCAGCCGCCTCTCAGGCCTTCCACTCGCATTACATATTGGAATCGTGAGTGCGAACTGTACGCCCGATCCCCCAAGTG